GACACAAATCTAGGAGTTCCCACCTTCAGCGAGATGTTCCTTTACTGCTTCAGAAACGACTCAACAAACGTAGAGGACAGGTTGTCTAATGAAAACATTCTGGTCAACATTCTGGAACAGATGAAGAACAATAAAAGCTGGTGACAGATTGACTAATATGCACGAGTGGACAGAGACGGTGGTGACGCTGCTGCATGTGGAGGTAAACATGAAGAGGCTACAGGGAGACGCAGCAGAGAGTACTTTTATAGACAGACAAGAACTTTCTAGGAAGTTTAAAGGGTTTCAATCCTTTGCATTTAGGAGCGAAAAAGCAAGATCCTTTCAGCGCAGTCCTGCCCCACCAAGCCGGCGTACTGCTGCACCGTCGCCTCGTCGCTGGGGCCTTTCCGTTTGCGGGTGTAGGCTGCGTAGGGCATGACGGTCCGTCTGTAGAGCACCAGAACTCTGCCCACGTCCTTCAGCGCCAGAGCATCTCCTAGACAAAAGCAGGCTCGTTTAAAAACACAGCGTAGACTCATTCAAATTGTTTTTATGTTAAATTGACCTCCAAGTGACTTGGCAGGGAGAAATCGTTATTCCAAGAAGATGTAATTCCCATGTGCTTGACTCATGTTAGTGTGTTCAGGCTAGTTAGCGTCTCACAGCCCCGCACCCTGCTGAACGCTCCTCGGGTCCCGCGTCGTATGCTGCCAGCTCCCATCATACCAGTAAAACGCTGCCAATCTTTAGAAGTGTGTGTTTAAACCATGAACGGTCCTCTGGAGAGTCGGATGGAAAAAAAGGTGAAAAATGTTGACCTGCAATTCTAAACTTTTCACCACTGCCTCCAGGAGAGGAACACCAAGCCAAGCTGCAAACAGCCGGCGCCAAGAGGAGACGCGGGGCACAGCAGGGAGCGGCGGGCCGGGCCAACCTGACCCACACATTCTTTAAACAGGTTTGAATGACTTGACAAAAGCAGAAAAGTAGGATTTTTTTCATTACTCACTAGAATTCAAAGATGTTTGTCCTGCTCATCTGTCTGGCTTGGTTTGGAGAAATAGGAGCTTAACATCAACAGGACTGATTAGCAAATAGCTAGCCTGTATGCTAGCCTGAAGACGTCACGGCTTTAAACAACGGGAAAAAAGAACAAATTAATAAAATAACACAAATGGATTTGAACTACTTGAACTCTTGAATTTAGTCATCTGTCCAAATATCTGTCAGGTAACCGATCTTGTTGCCTGGCTTTATTTTCAGCTAGCTAGAAGCTAATCAGTAGCTACTGAGGATTACTAATGATGCCCTCCAGCATCCCAGAATGCAACACGAAGCTGGCTACAGGAGGGCATTTGGCTCAGTTTTACACCATTCACCTGGTCATCGTGCCTTTCTCTCCTGGAAGTATCAAACCTGCTATTTTTTACTTTTGCCGATGGTATTTATAATTGTAAATAACTGCGTATAATACCCTTTTCCTAAATATGACTGGTCACATGTATGCAGAATGATGACAGTCTTCAACCTTTAATGTCCTGCATTAGCCACAGACAGAAAACAGACGGGGAAACGCTCCGATCAGAAAAAGCCACACAGATCTGCGTCACACTGAAAATCAGCATCAATGGACTCACCCATCTTGACTTGGGACCGCGAAAGGCTGTGTTGACTTTGCAACCAGGAGCGAGCAGAGCACGTTTCAGCCAGTGGAAGCTAACGATTAGCATTGGCAGAAAAAGTGTTGCTTTGCTGTTAACCAATCAGAGGCGAGATGTTTGCATCTCATGAATAATAATGGTTAAGACTCCAAATCCTGTTGTTGTCGTCCCCCCACGCCATCGGGTAAGTGGCCAAGAAATCTAGACCAACCATAGCAAAGAGATGTAGCTGTGCAGGTCGGTTTAGCTACGCTCCATTGTAGCTTCAGAAGGTCTACCATTGGCCTGATCAATGTTGTGTCTCACCAATCACAGCACTACGTTTGTTGGATGGGCTTTACACTAGAGCTGCCACAGAGAAAAACTACAAAGATGGCAGTGCATAGCAAGCTTTGTACAAGTGTGGGCATTGAGATCTCTCATATATATATATATATATATATATATATATATATATATATATATATATATATATATATATATAACCCTAACCCTAACCCTCACCTCAAATTAATTATAAAATTATAAACAACAGCTCACTACAGTCTGGGAACAGAACGTGTTTCTAGGAACTGAAGCTTGTTGGCAGCAGCTCACCTGTTCCATTGAGAAATCCTCTCATCGGCAGCAGGTGATTAACAGAGCAACCAAAACCAGAGCGAACCGCGGGAGCGGTGGGAAAACGCGTTTCAACGATGCAACCGACCGGAATACTGACATGACGCCGGAGCGCAGAGGTGCAGGATTCAAGGAAGGGGGAGAGGGCAAGCACAGTCAGAGAGACACAGAGGGACCAGACTGATAGCAGCATTTTTGAGCTAAACTACGGGAAAAGTGTGGGTGGTGTGACGCCCATGACTGGGTGAGCTCAATGGCCCGTGGCTAGAATATATGTTTACATATAGCTCGCCAGGCTACTAGCTAACTTCTGTTTCCTGAAACAGGAGCGCCAGAGCTTTTCCCTCAGCGCTTTTGACTCACGAGGTATTCATTCATTCATTCATTCATTCATACGTCTATAACTCCTTTAAAAATGTCTATATATTTCTTTAAGTCTCACAAATTAAAGAGGTTGTGAAACACTCAAAAAAAAAAGTTTTCACACCCTTAAAGCAACTAATGAAGTCAGTAAAGTCCCAATTATATGGTGTTATGGTGCCTAAACAAGAGAGAGGTAGAGCAAAGAGGAGTGCTGCCCCGGGGATTCACAGCTCTGCTTCTCCATCTCCATAAAAATATTTTCATACTTCAGCTACAATTTTCAACCCACATTGTAAATTCATGTATTTTTTACCAGCTGCGTTCCCCCCACAGAGTTGGGCCCTAACCACTGCTTTGTAGAAACAGCTGAGTCACGTAGCTACAGAACGGTGCAGACTTTTAAATAAAATCAGCAGCATGTTAAGTTCCAACCTTTAAAAAAGACCCAAACGCGTTACGCAACAGAACCGTGAAGAGCTTCTGCGTCCTGATTGGACGACAGTGAAACGCGGGTGAAGAGGGTGAGGGAACGTTTTACAGAGCACAGAGGCTTTCAATGTTTTGGCGTGACCGAACAGAGGGCAGCACTCTCCCTCCTACTTGAGGAAACACAAACATCCGCTCTCCAGTTAAACAGCTTTCCCTTTCGTCTTCACACTCCAGTCTCTTCTCCTTTTGAGTGGCTCCAGATCCTGTTGGTGTCGAGCTCGACCGGACATCCAGTGGCACGCCGCTCTGAGGCCGCAGCTCCATCAAATCAGGGTTCAGGGGTCAGGGGGAGGAAGAGAGGAGGGGTTTGACGGGGGAGGTAGAGGGTCAGGGCCGAGGCGAGGGGCCTCAGCACCCCGCCACGCTTCTCCTCTCTGTTCCTATCGGTCTCAGACTTTCACAGAACCAGCTCAACACCGGACGCTGGTCAAAGACGGGCCGTCGGGTTACGACCACTTCCTATGACCCGGTGTTGGAGATCCAAAGCAGGGCTTGGGTTTGAAAAGGAAAAGGTCGAGATGATGAGTCTGAAAGGGCTTCTTTTTGACAGGAAGACCCTAAACTGAGCTCATGCTAGAATCGATGGTTCTGACCCAACAGTGAAGAGGAAATTAAAGAACATCCTTTAACTTTGTTATGAAAATGCCTCAAACATTTCACATCCCAGTCTTCCTCCTAAAACAGCTCCAACCACCTCATTTCCGCGCCCTGTTTTATAAACTTTCCTCATTTCTGTTGTGCTCTCTGCTGTTATTCATGTGGTATGTGAGATTGTTCACAAAGTCCATTTGCAAAAAACAAAAGAAAAACAAAATCCCAATATAAAATGTTATTGCACGTGCTTCACAATATATTGCGATATGGATTTTAGTCGTTATAGCCCATTCCTAGAGAACAGTACACAAGAAAAGCCGCGTGATAGATTTGTGAGCAACGCAAAAACCCAACAGCACACAGGAGGACATGTTAGCAACAAGGACGGCCAGTGGAGGGCCGCTGTGTGAGAAGAAGAGTCTGCAGCAGTAGGGCTGGGGGTAAACGATTATTTTTAAAACGATTATTCTGACGATTATTTTATCGAATAGTCGACTATTCTAATGACTATTTAGAAAATTAATCTAATAATTATTTTTCTATTGCACAATTAACAAAAACCAGAAAATCTCAAATAAATTCCTCAAAATAAGTGATAAATTGTTACTGTAAGAGAATAAACACTACAGGCCTTCCATTTTGTATAACACTGCTTTTATTGTGTTGCGGTTGGTTATGTTCTGGTGACATGTAGAACTTGGGAGAGCAGGCTGCTGCCTGAGAGGTGGTTGGAGACGGAGTGTCTCCATGCTGCTTCGATTTGGTCACTTATGTGCGTGAGGCGAGTGGTGTTACGACCCTTCCTGAGGAGTTTGGCTCGTGTGCAAAAAGGAAGGGACAATAACGGGATTTAAAAGTTAAAATGATGATCAGGTTTATTTACAACTATAAAAAAACATAAACCTTTCCATCCACAGGTTGGGAGTAATAAAACTAATTCTGCCTGTGGGGAATTAAAACAAAAGTACAAATAACTAGGGATGTCCCACTGGGCAAAGATTACAGGGTTCTGGACCAAAATAAGGATCTCCAAAAGTCAAACTCTAAACTGGGCGGTTAAACCAAACCCAAGGTGATATTTTAAACTAAACCAAAAACCCACAACACTCTAAATGTAATAAAAGGGAGATCTACACCACAAGAAAGATGAACTCTAAACCAAAACGTAACAGCTTATCCCAACGCAAGAAGCTATTAGCGAAAATGCTAACAGTAGCTTTACCAACGTTAAGTTCAAGCTACCAAGTTTAAATAAAACAAAAACACCCAACAGCAAACAGACCAGCACGGAGGAGAGACTGCTGCCACAAAAACAGCTCTCCTAATGTCTGAAAGAAACTCCTTTATGAAGGGAGGAACGCTCCCGGTGATGTTCTACATCTGCGGTAGAGACGAAGCAGCGCATCTGACCCCGGAAGTTGTTGTCCGTTGCCGGGAGACGAAGGCGGGCAAAACAGGAAAATAATCTAGTAGTGGACGGACGTTGTTCCGGGTCTTCGGTATTTGGCGGAGATGTTAGTGAAGGCGGAGAAGAGGGCGAACTAGAGGAAAAACAGACAGATTCCTCCTCTATTTACAAACTCCTGGGGATGCAACAAGTGGGCGCGGTGCGTCGACTTCCGGATCTGACGTCGACAAATTTTTAGAATCGAGCCGTCGACGTCGTCGAGGCTTCGCTACAGCCCTATGCAGCAGTGAGGTGAAACTCTCAGGAGCGATCAGTGACTCTACCCCCTAGCAATCAATGGCCAACAGTGTTTGATGTGGCATTTTCGGCCTGGCTTGGTACCTTGGAACCCCATGGAAGCAGGTACTGGAAAAGGGTGCAGCAACTACCACGACAAGTGGAAACAGTTTGGAAATGGAACTAACCCAGTTGATCTGAAGTGGTGGAAAAGGATCACAGGGGCCCCTTCAGAGGAGCTGAAGGGTCCTGTGTGACTCCAGAGACATGGTTGAAGGATGTGAACCCCATTTCTCTGAACTGAGGAGGTTCAAGATAAGATTGAGTAAATTATTAATAACCTAATAAGAACAAAAGCTGCTCATCAGGCCACCACCACTCCAGCTATGATGGATTCCAGTCACTCAAAAGGCACTGCACAAATCTAAGCTCATGTAAACGACGTGTAACGTGTGCATCTGGGTCAGAACCTTCCAGACACTCAACGTCCAACAACGGCTCACACGGGTCAGGGTTTCACGCAAATATTTATACTTCTGAGCGAACAATGCCCTGACTTCTCTCTCTGTCAAACACTGATAGTGTTTGAGACGTGCTGCGTGTGTGTGTGTGTGTGTGTGTGTGTGTGTGTGTGTGTGTGTGTGTGTGTGTGTGTGTGAGACATCAGAATGATGCATTAGAAGCCTTGACATTAGCAGCAGGCTTGTAATCAATGTTAGGAAAGAGTTGTGTAAACTCATTAGGACACCAAGTTTCCAGCGGGTCTCGTCTGGGACTTGGATCACCTCTCGTGGGACGCTAACCATCAAGTTTAGCTACAGAGGTGGATGAAACACTCGACGATCGACTTGAAATGAAACCCCGGCCACGCAGAGCTGGAGGAACCAGAAGAACCACGGAAACAAACACACACACAGGCCATGGTGATGATGCGGGATACTGAACATAACTTTAACAGCTTCAATTTATAAGTGTGAATAAAGTATTATTAGAAGGTTTCTTTCTTTCTTTTAATGAATTTTGATCACAGAATTGTTGGGCAAACTGAGGTCATTTTTGTTTAAAAGCAGCATTCCCACCCCAGATGGGACTCGAACCCACGATCCCTGGCTTAGGAGGCCAGTGCGGGACCTTTTGTTGTCAGAAATGTTTTAGCCTACTTGGAGGATTAGCGTTTAACTTGCTGTTAATGCCAGAGCTGTAAATGATAAGAGTACTTAAGGTCTTTCCCTTCAGGATAAAGATCTCCCATCAACAATTAAAAGCTCCAGAATAAATCGGCCCATCTAAACACCGTACCTGACTACTAGGGGATTATAAAAACTAGGGGAATAGGAAACTTTTCCTTTAAAGTGAAAATAGCTAAAAAAAAATAAATTTTTATGTCATAACGGGTCACTCCGAGTGTGTCATGAAAATAGTCTCCTACACCGATCTCCTGCAGTAGCTTCTGATAGAAAACAGACGGTGAAACTCTTGGATTAGAAGATCCTGACAGATCTACGTCACACTCATGGACTCACCCATCTCGACTCACGACGGGGAAGGCTGTTGTTGGTTTAGCGTCCAGGAAACAGCAGAGAACGCCGTGGCTAGTAGAAGCTAACGTTAGCATTAGCAACTCCACCACACAGCAGAACTCCTCCAGGCTTGTGTTATTTGAGGAGATAAAACATCAACGTTGCAGCGCAAACAGAGTCAGTGGTATCGCCTCGTTGCTGTTAGCCAATCAGAGTTGAGATGTCCAAATATCAGGAAATAAGACCCCAAAAGTGGCGACTGAACCCCTCTCCTCTGATGTGGCTTTCTGCTACTTCCTGAAACAGGCCCACCCAAGCTTTTCCCCCCAGAGATTGACATTCATTCCTACTAGAGACCACTGCAAATGAATTAATTAAACTAATGTCACAAACCTTTAAGTTTTCTGTTCACCGTCATTAAAAAAGTATTTTAGAATAAAATGGGACGACAGTGTCGTATAATCGTACCTGCATCAGGGTCCTGGTTTAAACGAGCGTAGTGGGAGTTATCCAGTCTGGTTACACATCGCTCTATTGGTACCCAGGCGTACGTCTCTGGGCACAGGAGGTCTGCGGGCCTGTACTGACCCTGGAAAATAAGAGAGGCAAACAAATAAGTCTTAGAGCAAGTTTACATGGATGAAGAACACCATTATCTTTAGTAGTAAAGGACTAGATTAATTAACCTGATAAAAACCATCCCCACCAACGCTGGCGATGTGCCGTCAGAGTAAAAAGGTCCGACTAAATGTAAACTGACCCCGAGGTCGGGCCATGGATCAAACTCCACTCTGTTAACTCTCTTTGTTCCATCTGCTCCTGAGTGTTGAGCAACAATTGTCAACACACCAGCATATTGTTCTGTGTGCTCGGGTAACGGGTACAAATCTGTGGCTGACCCAACATTTTGGATGGAAAGTAAACCAAGCAGAACAAAAGCAGCTGCGAGGCGAATTGGAAGAAGGGAGGGAAAAACGAGTGAAGGCGTTGGATGAAGAAAAAGGAGGGAAGGAGAAGCGACAGCATTATCAGAGCCCTGTGTTCGATCACATAGCTCCAAACAAATACAAACTGCTGAGACAGCTCTGTAAACAGGCAGGCGCCTGCAACCGGCCAGATGTACTGCCTCAACACACACGCGTGCACACGCACGAGCACGCACACACACACACACACACACACACGAGCACGCACACACATGCACTCACTTCGAAGTTTACATGACATTAAACTGTAAAACAGCTTGAGCATTTCTAGACCACTTTATACACGTCAGAGGTCAACAACGAAAAAAAAAATATCACAAAAGCTGAAAAATGCCACCAATAAGAGATGATGTCCTACATCCTCCCATAGAGCTGATAAGGCTGCCGCCCGTTTCCACATGCAGGTCGTGATGCCATGAGAACCTATGAGGTGGGTTCAGAATTCAGAAACATGAAATCATTGAGAGGAGAGAGTTCTCCACGAATCATCGTCACTACTGGAGCAGCAAAATCACAGAACACCGACTCGGAGGAGAAAAAGTAAAGAATTCGCAGGGAAGCACTTCAGCTAAAGATGGATGGTTGCTGCATCAGACACGTACATCCATCGTACACCCACCTGTCTGCACAATCAGCTCCACACCTCCACACTCTGCTTCACTTCTATATCCAACAATGGCCCTCGACCTGCCTCGCTGCAGCGACACACACACACACACACACACACACACACACACACACACACACACACACACACGCGCCCTGCTTTACGTGCTTCTGCACATTTACTCAACCCAAGTGCACAAAAAGAGGAGCAGGGGACAAAACATTTCAAATGAATGAAACATCAAAGAAATTTTTGTGCTTTCTGAAGAATTTTTCTTGTAAAAATGACAAATCATTTGCTTCATGAATGGACAGTTTTAGAGAAACAGCCATTTTGTTCATTGGATTGGTTAGCCAAGCACTAGTCTGAGTATAGACGAGACCAAAGAATGTGGCTGCCATGTTTTTCTTGATTAATTTATAAAACTTTTGGTTTGGAAGACAGAAGCTATTTGGTTTGGACGGGTTACGTTTAAGATTGTTTAGGCCATAAACTTCAAAGTGGACTGCTGCCGACTTAAAACAGCCCAACACTTCACACGCTGCAATACCATCCATCCATTTTCATCCGCTTATCCGGAGTCGGGTCGCGGGGGCAGTAGCCTAAGGCGAGAGGCCCAGACTTCCCTCTCCCCAGCCACTTGGGCCAGTTCCTCCGGGGGAATCCCAAAGCGTTCCCTGGCCAGGTGAGAGACATAGTCCGTCCAACGTGTCCTGGGTCTATCTTTAGGCCTCCTCCCGGTTGGATGTGCTCGGAAAACCTCACCAGGGAGGCATCCTGACCAGATGCCAGAGCCACCTCAACTGGCTCCTCCCAATGTGGAGGAGCAGCGGGTCTACTCCGAGCTCCTCCCGGATGACCGAGCTTCTCACCCTATCTCTAAGGGCCACTCTTCGGAGAAAACTCATTTCGGTCGCTTGTATCCGCGATCTTGTTTTTTCGGTCGCTACCCAAAGCTCATGACCATAGGTGAGGGTAGGAACGTAGATCGACCGGTAAATCGAGAGCTTTGCCCTCTGACTCAGCTCTCTCTTCACCACGACAGACCGGTACAACGCAGATGCAGCACCGATCCGCCTATCGATCTCACGCTCCAGTTTTCCCTCACTTGTGAACAAGACCCTGAGATACTTAAACTCCTCCACTTGGGGCAGGACCTCATCCCTGACCCGGAGAAGGCATTCTACCCTTTTCCGAATCAAGACGATGGTCTCAGATTTAGAGGAGCTGATTCTCATCCCAGCTGCTTCACACTCGGCAGCGAACCACTCCAGCGAAAGCTGAAGATCACGTTCTGATGAAGCCAACAGGACAACATCATCTGCAAAAAGCAGAGACCTGATCCTCAGGCCACCAAAACGGATACCCTCCACACCTTGGTTGCACCTAGAAATCCTGTCCATAAAGGTTATAAACAGAATCAGTGACAAAGGGCAGCCTTGGCGGAGTCCAACTCTCACTGGGAACGAGCCCGACTTACTGCCAGCAATGTGGGCCAAGTTCTGACACCGGTAATACAGGGACCTAACAGCCCGTATCAGAGGGCCTGGTACCCTATACTCCTGGAGTACCCCCCACAGGGCCCCACAGGGCCCCCCAAGGGACGCAGTCAAGCGCCTTCTCCAAATCCACAAAAAACATGTAGACTGGTTGGGCAAATTCCCACGCACCCTCCAGGATCCCTCTAATGGTACAGAGCTGGTCCATTGTTCCACGGCCTGGACGAAAACCACATTGCTCCTCCTGAATCTGAGGTTTAACAATCCAACCCTCCTCTCCAGAACCCCTGAATAGACCTTACCAGGAAGGCTCGGGAGTGTGATCCCCCTGTAGTTAGAACACACCCTGCGGTCCCCCTTTTTAAATAAGGGGATCACCACCCCGGTCTGCCAGTCCAGTGGGACTGCCCCTGATGTCCACACAATATTACAGAGCCGCATCAGCCAAAGTCCCACAGCATCCAGACCCTTAAGGAACTCCGGGCGGATCTCATCCACCCCTGGAGCCTTGCCACAGAGGAGCTTTTTAACCACCTCAGTGACCTCAGCACCAGAGATTTGAGAGGCCAACCCAAAGTCCCCAGACTCTGCTTCCTCACTGGAAGACATGTCGGTGGGATTGAGGAGTTTTTCAAAGTATTCTGCCCACCGATCCACAACGTCCCGAGTAGAGGTCAGCAGCACACCGTCCCCACTATAGTGTTGGTAGCGCACTGCCTCCCCCCCCCACCCTGAGGCGCCGGATGGTGGACCAGAATCTCCTCTAAGCCGTATGGAAGTCTTGCTGTATAACCCATGCCCGGGTCTTTGCTTCGGCGACCAACCGAGCCACGTTCCGCTTGGACTGCCGGTGCCCATCAGCTGCCTCTGGAGTCCCACAGACCAAAAGATCTGATAGGACTCGTTCTTCAGCTTGAAAGCATCCCTAACCGCCGGTGTCTACCAGCGGGTTTGGGGGGTTGCCACCATGACAGGCACCAACGATCCTGCGACCAGATTACTAATCTTTAAACTTTTGCTTCTCCATCTTTGTTTATTATTTATTTGAGTTGAACGTTGCCATCTCTGGTGCAGTTCAGGGCCACATATGTAGATGTGACAATGAAAACTTTTTAAACTAATTTATTCCTTTAAAATCGTTGAATCTCAACTGTCCTTTGCAGAGGTCATATTCAGGAAGAAACGTTTTACACAGAAACTTTAATGAAAATGGCAGAAAACCCATTTTAATGATAGTTTTGCTGATAGTAAAAAAATAACGGCGCATTTGTAAAGTTGGAGGACTCGAAAGCGCTTCACATTACAGTCATATAGATCATGCATCTGCACTGGCTTCAGTCTGTTCTCACAATGATCACAATGGTTTACCAAGCCTTCAGCTCGACCCAATCAAAGTGATGCAGAGCTCAGGCATGGCTTACTCACAAATCCTCAACTCTCCCCAGAAAAGGAGATGGGATGAAGATTGTGAAAGGAGCCAGTACTTAGTGATCCAGGCAAAGGAATGAGTAATGAAACAGAAAAAATAAATCTCTCGCTGCCACAGTGTGTGTGTGTCAGACTTGTGGTTTTTTCATCCCCAGGTTAGTTCAGAGGCCCTGAACCCCGAAGCCAGCTCATAACATCCAGGAAGTCCACAGAGCACGTCGTCCGCAAGCTGTGGCTAAAAATAACGTTGATTATCTTTACTGACCAGATTTAGCAGCTTGTCTGGCAGAAATCACAACAGTTTGCTTTGTAAATCAAACTTCCATCACCGTCTAGTTTCTAAAACTCACCACAAATTTCACATTTAAGATATAATTAGGGTCTATCAGGTGCAAATTAGCACATATTTTATTTATCGACTTGTGCTTTAGGAGGGAAAAACACTTGTGATGAAAAAATCTTGTTTTCAAGAGGGTCCTCCTACCTTACAAGAACAAGAAGATACTTGAGTCGATAAGCAAAAAGGGCAAGTCCAATGACTTGAAGCTCAAACAGATGGAAAATTCAAAACCCAAGATGAAATGAATTAATTAAAAACATTTCCTGCAAGTTATATTATTCAAGCATTGCAAAATAAAGATGCTGGTCATTGGGTATTGTGCTATTAGGCAGTGGTCTTTCATTAAACCTGTTAAGGGTCATTTTAGCACATACTGGCTCAAGAAAATTATTTAAAACATGAAAAGCCTGGAAAGCCTTTCATATCTCTGACATATGACAGATTTATACGATATCAGAATAACCACCACATACTGACAACTAATAGCTAGATGTAAGGGTCGATCAGCTGTTCTTGGAGGAAATTCTTTAAGTCAAAGTTATTTCAAAAGAGGTATTTTTTTCCACAAATTTAAGTAATTTTATCAATTTATTTCCCAAATTTCACAAAAGATCAAATTTTTCTTTTGTTTAAAGAAAAATACAAATAATTATAAACAATTATTTAAAGTGCTTTAAATTCATATACGTAAGCAACTATAGTTTTATAAATTTTTGCATTTAGGTTACA